AGCCTCGAGTGAAGCCAGACGCCGTAATTACGTGCCGCAAACTGACGGGCTGTCGAGTGGACTCCAACCTGGCACCCAGCACAACCGTGGCGCGCAAACGGGATTTGAACCTGTATATTTTCACCCCAAAACATTTTCATCTTTCTTTTTAACCTCTTTTATGTTTTTTAATAAAAAATTTATTTGTTGGTGCTCTTCGTCACAGATTTATTGCGCGCCCTCGCTCGGCCTCATCCGCCTTAGGTTGTAAATATTCGAGCGTGCGGCGAGGGTCTTTATAAAACATCAAACCTAATCACGCGAGACAAGAATTAAGATGCAGGAGTCAGGGTCGAATCCCTCCCCTTCTCTCCACCCCACTCTACACTCACAATATATATATATATATCAAAGCGCTTTATATATATATATATATATAAAGCGCTTTGATAGCATGAGGGTCAGCTATATCCCGTATATATATTATATCATCTCTCCCATCTATAATTATACACCTGAAATAAAAACATAATTTATTATCGTAACAATAGAAAGCACGGCTGTACTAAACGCTCATAATTCTACGATCCTTCGCCCCGACGGTCACGTGACTCCGGCTTTTTGCCGCCATCATGACGTGGACTCGTGACTGACCCGCGACGTTGTCACGTGACCCCACATGTGACCCCCGCTTACAGGGCAATCGAAACGCGCTGGGAGGGCATTCCGGGTATTAGAGGTTTCGCAGATGATGATGCAAGAATTTCCTGGGGAAACATTCCGGGTATTAGAGGTTGCTCAGGTGTTGACTGTGGAGGAGGCGTACGTGCGGAGTGTTCCGTCAGCTGTGTTGCAGTGGCAGCGATGGAAGATGTTGTTCCCATAACATGTCGGCATGCCACTCGTGACGTGGGAAGCGGAAGTCGTCATGTCAAAGGTCAGCAGCGGCAGGTACCAGCAAAACATAATATACAGCTATACGTACGTCCCACACGTACCACACACAGCGTTAGTGAGTGCTGCTGCTAGAGGTGATTCTGCTGCTGCTGCTGATGCTGCTGCTACAGGTGATGATGATGATGATGATGAAGATGGTGATGATGATGATGGTGATGACGATGAAGAAGAAGAAGAAGAAGAAGAAGTTCAGGATCTTTCCCAATTCCTGCCTGACTTTTTAGCTTCTTCTCCCTCTCTCTCCTCTTTTCTCTCTATTTCTCGCTATATCGCACACACACACACACACACACACACACACACACACACACACACACACACAACACACATCACACACACAACACACACAGACACGCACACTACACATCACACCACCACACACACACATACACACACACAACACCCACACACACACACACACACACACACACACACCAGCACTCTCTCTCTCTCTCTCTCTTCTAATATATATGATATATATCATATATATATATAATATAGATATACAGTCGTTATCGCCCACCCATCTCCTTTCATTCGCTCTCCTTATTCTCATCTCTACCCCTCCTCCTTCCGTCCCCCCTATCTCTTCACTCCACGCGTTTCCAGCTATAACAGCTACGACATGTGGCAACGCCGTGCGTCCCATGGTCAATGCGACCAGACTGAGAACAAGCGCGTGAGAACCATACCGCAGTTTTTACACGCAGCGGATTGCGGCGACATCTACCGGGATGAATGATCGGCCACGTCGGCGGAATGTCGGAGCGCGTGGCGTTTTACGAGGTGATTTATACGCTCTGTTTTGTGCAGTCGCGTAACGCGATACAGTTACACATTCGCTTGACCACACAGGAACGCGCGAGCGTTGCCCCGATGTTGTCATTCCTACACCTATTACGTGCCCTATCCCTCCGCCGCGCCGCACATAGCAAAGCTCCGAGCCCTGTGCGGTGACAGAGGCCTGAAAAGAGAGAGACGAGAGAGAGAGAGAGAGAGAGAGGAGAGAGAGAGAGAGAGAAGAGAGACAGAGAGAAGAGACGAAGAAGAGGGAGGGAGAGAGAGAGGAGGAGAGCCCGAGAGGAGAGAGAGAGAGGAGAGAGAGAGCAGGAGAGAAGGAGGAGAGAGAGAGATAGAAGAGAGAGAGAGCGAGAGAGAGAAGAGAGAGCGAGCGAGAGCGAGAGCGAGAGGAAGAGAGAGTAGAGGAGAGAACAGAAGAGAGAGAATGAGAAGAGACGAGAGAGATTGAGAGGGATGAGACGAGAGAGAGGCGAAGGAGAGAGAGAGAGAAGAGAGAGAGACGAGAGAGAGATCAAGAGAGAGAGGAAAGCAGAGACGGAGAGACGAGAGAGGAAGAGAGACGGAGACGAGAGGGGGTTAAAAAGGAAGAGAAGTGAAAGAGATACAAACGAAGTATGTTATAAGTCTAATCGCTCTGACCGACTGCTAATTCTAGAACTTCTCCATAGCAGCATATTATGATCATTCGCCTAACCACACCTCGCACTAGCATTTCTTACCTATCTTCGTTCCTCGCACGTACTTCGCGTAGACGCCGGTGATTAACGTCATCAAGGCCATCGTAAAAGGTCAGTGGCCTTTAACTCCGTATCCCCAGGCCATCCCGCGCCACAGGCACTTGAAACGTTTCTAATAAAATATAATGCTAAATAAATACGAAATCTAATACTAGTACTTACAAAATTTCTTAATGAGTCAATAATGTTTCTTCACCTATTATTGCCTCGAGCAGTTCCTGTCAAGTTCTCGTGAAATGCCTCCGACACACACACTAACGCCGCCATTGCCTCAATGGCTGCACAGTGACTGTTAATATATAATAATGTATAATAATAAATATATATATAATATAGTATATATATATTATATTTAATGTAAGCTGCAACATCCGCGCCGCGAGAGCAGTGGTGCAATCCGCAGCGGTACGTTGACGTGGGAATTTGGAGCGGAATTTATCAAGATACTGTTTGGCGCAAATAGGGTGAAACGAGAGTAGGGGCGGTGGCTAGTAATAGGCTAATAGAAAACCATTCGTATGTTAGTTAGGCATATATCTTATTGAAACGCCCTTCAAGTGCCGTGATCCCCCCGCCCCTAGCGTCAGCACGCCTATGGAGCCTTGTAATTGCTGTGACGTCCGCGTCGCGCTACGTTTGTCGTGCGTGTGTGTTGTGTGTGTGCGTGCGCGTGCGTGCCGTGCGGCGCGTGCTTGCCGGCAGCGTGCGGCGTACGTGCTGCGAGCGGTGCTAGCGGGCGTGCGCTGCGGCCGGCGTGCTGCGTGCGTTGCGTACGTGCGTGCGTCTGACGTGGCGGGCGGCGTGCGGGCAGGTCTTCGTGCGTACGTGGCGGCGCAGGCGTGCGTGCGGGCGGGCGGGCGGCGTGCGTGCGTGCGTGCGTGCGTGCGTGCGTGCGTGCGTGCGTGCACTCTCTGCGCTCAGCTTATCCCTGTTAAGCTCCTTGCCGAGGTGCCTTCACTCTCTATGACCCCACCGTGACACGAGAACGACGTTCGCTGTGCGGAGGCGACGTGACGTCGTTACGATCGATGTCATCGCTCCATGGATGTGTGGCGACGTGTTTCCTCTCCTCCCCCTCTCTCACCTCTCTCTCCCTTTCCTCTCTCTCTCTTTCTCTCCTCTCTTCTTTCTCCCTCTCTCACCTCTCCTCTCTCTCCCTCTCTCTCTCTTTCTCACCTCTCCCCTGTCTGTCTTCCTCGCTCTCTCTCCTCTCTTTCCCTCTCTCACCTCTCCTCTCTCTCCTTCTCTATCTCTCTCTTTCTCTCTCTCTCTCTCTCTCTCTCACCTCTCCCCTGTCTGTCTTCCTCGCTTTCTCTCCTCTCTTTCCCTCTCTCACCTCTCCTCTCTCTCCCTCTCTGACCTCTCCTCTCTCTCCCTCTCTCCCCTCTCACCTGTCTGTCTTCCTCGCTCTCTCTCCTCTTTTTCCCCCTCTCACCTCTCCTCTCTCTCCTTTTCTCACCTCTCCTCTCTCTCCCTATCTCACCTCTCCCCTGTCTGTCTCCCTCGCTCTCTCCTTCTATCTTCCCTCTCTTCACCTCTCTTTTCTTTCTCTCTCCCGTCTCTCTCTCTCCTCTCTCATCCTTTCTCTCCTCTCTATCTCTCTTCCTCTCCCCTTCTCTCCCGCCTCTCGCTCTCTCTCTCTCTCTCACCCTCTCACTCCCCCTCTCTCGCCTTCTCTCTCTCTCTCTCCTCTGTCTCCCCCTTCTCTCTCTCTTTCTCTCTCTCTCTCGCCCATGAGCGATCTGCATATCCAGGCCCGATATCTGTGAATGCTGAGAGAGGTGGGGCTGCTGCAGGCAAGATGTATGAATGAAAGAGAGAGAGCGCGAGCGAGAGAGAGCAAGAGAGAGAGAGAGGGAGAGAGAGAGAGATGAAAATCGCACGTAAGAAATTCTAACGCCTTAAGCAGACAGGCGGTGTGCTGGGGCCGCCGCATGATTGACAGCCTTCTGGCCACGCCCCCTCGCCCGCGATCCGCACCTGCACGTGACCGGGCGTTACTTGACAGCTAGTAGTAGCAGCGGGTCGGCGGGCAGACACACGCACACACAGCCAGCAAGTCCTTCTGCATGCATGCGTGCCTACACACATGCACGCGCAGCACCGGCACGCACACGCAGGCACACGCGCACACACGCGCGCACACAGACAGACAGCAGCAGCAGCATCGCCTGAGCGGCAGGCAGCGACGCAAGACCGCTACACACGCCAGCATCTCAGCAGCAGCATCGTCAGCGTCAGCGTCATCGTCTTCGTCGTGAGTCGGACGCGTGCACGATCATAAGTGATTATTGATTTATTGATTCGGTGATCAATCCGTGAAAGATGACGCAGCGCTACGGCGCATGCTTCGCGCAGTGTCGCGGGGCGTCGTGAGAGATAGACGACTACCTACATTATACACCCACACCCGCGTGTACGTGTAGATATTTATGTGTTGGTTCGTACACGCGCGCGTGTATATATCTGCCGATGTGCGTGTGATGGACCGACAGTCGGCGACCAGCTGGGAGTGAATGAAGCATCATGACGACGATGACGTCACCGTGTCTACTGCTGCGTCTACTGCTGACGCTAGTGACGACGTATGCCGTCTTACAGCCAACCGTCGGCGGCGGCGGAGCGCGGAGACGCGAGCGACGGCCGACCGAATTTACGGTGACAGCGCCGCTAGCTGCCGACGATGACGTCAGCGCTGCGTCAAACAATGCGTCACACAGTATTAGCGCCGATAAAGCGACGTCGGCTGCCGAGGCGACGACGCCGCCTGATATAGGTAAGCAGCTAGTTGTACGGTTGCGTCATTGCGGAGTTTGTACGGGGCACAGGCACTTGTAACGTCTCAAAGAAAAAAAAGGTAAATAAACACGAAATGTATTTACTACCAAAGTCTTAATGTTTCTCTACTCTATTTCGCCTATAATCACCTGTAAATGCCAGTCAAATGCTCATCTGCAACACACAAGTACACCGCACGCCCGCGCTGTGCACAAACAACATGAATAAGAGAGTTCCAAATGCCTGTGGTACGGAGTTGATACCGCATGCAGGTTGTTGCTACTGTTGTTGTTGTTGTTGTTGCTGCTGCTCTTCTTGTAGTTAATTTTGGTGGTGGTGCTGTTGTTGTTGTTGTTGCTGTTGTTGTTGTTGTTGTTGTTGTTGTTGTTGTTGTTGTTGTAGCTGGTGTTGTTGTTGTTGTTGTTGTTGTTGTTGTTGTTGTTGTTGTTGTAGCTGGTGTTGTTGTTGTTGTTGTTGTTGTAATATTATATAG